TTTCGCAGACCAGGGCCTAATATCACCACAACGAATGTGGGTTCCTCTTGAGGATTTAGATCGCTACACTTTGTGGTAAGAGATATTTCCAATCTCTATTGTATTTTTTATTGAATATCATACTAATCGGTGCAAATTTTCGTCAACTTGAAACGTCTTTCTTGCGCTGAGTGTGATCGAGTTTGCCTTGATATCAATTTGGGTGTGTAAACGTATATTACCTTTTGTTTGATCCGCACCAATGAAACATCAGACTGATGCAAATTTCCTCTCATTTTAGGTGCAAAATGATCATACTCACAGCGCAAAAAAGACTTTCAAAGTGACGTATAATTTTTTCGAAAATAAAGTATTCAACAAAATTATATCCTAACACCAAGACAACACCAGAGTACTTTTACTGGAGTTTACTATCCCATATACTCATAATATCGGGAGCAAAGCAATATAATCACAGTTCATGGTTTACCTTTGAACTGTAAAACCCCACGTGCACCGCCAAATAATCCCGCAGAAAAGAAGCCTCCAGCCGTATAGATGAAAAGTATGAACCATTTAGCCACTGTAATATAACATGATGTATTATTCCAGATAAATTCCATCAGTTGCTAAGTTGCGCTCCATGTCATCAGTATGCTGCGGATGTCTAATGCAAAGGTCACCGCCTATCTTGGTAGGAGTCAGATGCAGACTGAAAGAGGATTTGAAAGCCAACACGTACATTACTTTGGAGTATACCAGCCCCGGTAGTCATTACCGCAAAATAAGGAAGAATATATTCAAAGAGATCCTGGGGTCCATTTTTGAGGCGTTTACGCTCTGGAAAAAGGTTTATTCTAGCTTGTTCGCAATTGAAAATGTTAATGGCGTGCTTCTATTAGCTCGGTGGCTAGCTCTTCGCCTTTGGTATTTCGGGAAATTGGCGCGTTTACTTTTCAAAAATTATTGTCAATTATGTATTTAAGGTAATGATTATCCAAGTTTGATATAGTATGAGCGAACTAGTTACAAGACAGTAGCTTAGACATGTCTACTTGTGTATTCCTCAGGTCTTCACTTCCAGCCTTTGAGAGGACGGTGTTACGAAGCTGAGTCAGTGCTCAATAACGTAAACAAAAAAAAAAGTGTCCACGACATTTAGAACCCATGGATATTCTCCTGGCCACAAGTCGGGTTAAGTTCCTCCCGTAGATGGATTGCGATCTATTGCCGGCACGATTCTGCTGGCTCTCCACCTCCACATATGGCAAATGTCTGGGAAGTCTACGTAAAAACATTTATCCTGCCTAAAGAGCACCTAAAGAAAATAGGTGCGCTTGCGTTAGCGAGATGAAGATATGAAACCATGAACAGATACTCTTTCAATGTGAGATCAGATTACATTCCCTCTGTCTTGTTCAAAGGCATTTCTGATGAAACATACCTTCTGACTATGCAGGATGCCATTTAGGCACTCTTCCTATCTATTTACATGTGTGAAGTTGTATACGTCTTTGCCACATCATCTGATTCTATATTGCACGATCGTTTATTGCCGCCATTGCTGCAGTTATATGGCGAAATTGACTAATGCTATTGCGAATACTGAGAAAATGGACACTGCCTGAAGATATATGCATAGATAACGTTGTCTAATATATATAGAAGTGAGAACAATACGCAAAACCTTTACATAACAACAAAATCAATCAACCATGGTTGCCAACAGTGATACAATTACCGCCACTACCGACAAGATTGTTAACAAGTCTGCTCCTCTAAAGCCAGCCAGCTCGCTGCCAATTGTCAATATTGATGATCCCCAATACCCTCGTTATCAAGACGACGTCAAATACCCTCCAATCGAAGAGTTTGAGCACGTTGATCGTGGTCATAACGCTGATCCTAAGAAGGCTGCTCTCCTTGGCGCTGCAAGCGAAATAATTGAGTTGACTCCACATATTGGTACGTAAATAATGCAATCGAGAGTGCACGCATGAGTGTATCTGTTATTGACATATACAAATGTTATAGGTACCGAGATTCACGGTATACAGTTGAACAAACTTACAGATCAACAAAAGGACGAATTGGCGTTGCTTGTGGCTGAACGTGGAGTTGTCTTCTTCAGAGACCAGGATATTAACATTCATGAGCAGATTGAACTTGGCCGTTACTATGGACCTCTGTAAGTATAAAAAGAGATGGACACTTTAGCTATCACACACACACGAGCTAATCACTATACCAGTCATATCCATCCTACATCTGGTCAACCCAAGGATATTCCTGAAGCACACGTCGTGCTCTTGGATGGAGAGAAGACCAAGAGACAAGAGTATATTGTTGGAAGAAGGTAGCTTGAAATCATATTGTATGTGACGGGCTGATAAAGCACTTTTCTAACATCAATCATCACAGCAATTCTGATTTGTGGCATACTGATGTCTCCTACGAGCGCCAACCCCCAGGCTTAACTACTCTCAAAATCGATACCCTTCCACCCGTTGGTGGAGACACTTTGTGGGCTTCTAGTTACCTTGCTTATGAGAAGCTATCACCTGCCATTCAACAATTGTTGGAAGGATTGGAGGCTGTCCATAGCGCCAAGGAACAAGCTGATGCCTCTGCTCGATTTGGTGGTCCAGTTCGACGTGAGCCAGTTGAGCATACCCATCCCATTATCCGTACCCATCCCGTTACCAAGCGAAAGGCCCTCTACGTGAACCCTGTCTTTACTCGTCGTATTGTTGGTTTGAGTCATCGCGAGTCTGGTATGTGTTGCATGAAATGTTTCCAGGCAATAATACTATTCAACTAATTTGTACTCTTTGACGCAGATACCCTCCTCAGACTCTTGTATGATCATGTCGCTGGAGGATACGATTTCACAGTGCGTTTCAAGTGGCAAAAGAACAGCGTCGCAGTTTGGGATAACCGTGTTACGGTCCACAATGGTAAGTTACACCTTTTTCGGGTTGAGAGAAAATCGATCTACCACCACATTTCTAAGTCACTTCACCAACAGCCATCTTTGATTATCTTACAATTGGTCGACGCCATGGATTGCGTGTCACTCCTCAGGCAGAGAAGCCATACCTTGAGAAGTCAGAATAAATACCGGCATATGTATAGCTCACGCCTGGTAGTGGAGCTAACTAATTAGCCAGTTATTGTAGTAGTACCTATGAATAAAGCAATGACATCGTACTTGTTTATCAAGCACGCAATTTGTATCCAATACTGCTCCAGGAAACTGCTCGTGCCTCAATGCTGCTGAAATAAGCGTGTTTTGACTATAATATAGTGAGACAGAATACCCTTGTAGTTTGACAACATTTCTCGGCAACCTAGTCATACCATGCACACAGGCAGGAAGACCGTGCTCACCGGGATTGACTAACATATATTACACATTAATGATCATTCAGCATCAAAACGAATGATAAGATCCTTAAAAGTCGTATTGCATCTACTTGCGTATGATGACGAAAGAGAGATGATTGACATGACATGGATCTCATCTACATTGTACCAGCTTACGTTCTTGGTAAACTTTAGAGTCAGGTATTGCACCATCAGGCCAAGGTATTATAGGCGATCTAGGTTTCGAAGTGTTAACTTTTCTCATGTGGTGGTGAAAAAGTGAGTGGGGTAATGCTGAGACAAATCGAAAACCGGAGTTGATATATTAAATTAGTTTGTCTATTTTCGAACGGGTGTAAATGTGCATTGAGCCTGCCTCCAACGAAGTGAAGGCCATTGAACCATTTCAGCACAAACATAACTGCCAGTGGTATTGATAATCATGGTTGTCATACAAAGATCAATGAATTTCCGCTCACAAGTAGAGGTAAATCGCGTAATCGGAGTGACAGATTGCGAGCAAAATTTACCATCGATGGCGTGCTGGCTTATCTGGCTCATTGTTTGAGCGGTGCAAGTCCGACCCCGCTTGAGTCTGTACCGCTTAGACTGGCACGATAAAAAAATGAATGGGGAAAAAGGGTCGGTTTGACTACATATTATTCTAAGTGGCGCAATCCTGTTCGTATTTTTAATGGTTCGTCGTGGTTTGAACCTTATGACAACCCGTCTTCCTTGTGAAAAGATATAAAACCTGGCAACTTCGTGCTTCATTACTTCCAAGAAATTTTCTCTATACATACAATGCCACCAAACACAGAATCTGTAGAAGTCATCACCGAGCAATTCGAAAAGAAGCTTAACCTCAAGGAGCTCGCACACAAGGGAAGATACGTTATCTATCCTACCACCAAGTATCCCGATTATGAAGCTTTCGAACACGTCGATCCTGGCCACAAGGGAGATCCTGCGAAGAAGGCTCTTTTGGACCCTGCCACCGCTGTCATTGAATTGACTCCTCATATTGGTACAGAGATCCATGGACTTCAATTGCACGAATTGAACGAGCAACAAAAGAACGATCTTGCCTTGTTGGTCGCTGAGCGAGGTGTTGTCTTCTTCCGCAAACAGGAGATTGACGTTTACCAGGGTCGCGAATTTGGAAAGCACTTTGGCCCTCTTCATATTCATCAAAACTTTGGCCACCCTGAAGGAATGCCTGAAGTTCATGTTATCCACTTTGATGAGAAGTAAGTTTTGAAAGCAAGTTGCACCGCCAGTCCATCGTATATCATGTACTTATCGACTTTCCTTGTACAGTTCTAATCGCAGCCACTTCAAAACCTTCAGCCACCAAGATGGATGGCATTCTGATGTCACCTATGAGATTGTAAGTTATTTATTACGTTTAGCTGAACTGACCTGTCAGGTATTGTTGACTGACCAAATTTGCTATCATAACATTTTTAGAATCCCGCTGGCCTTACTTTCTTGAAGCTTGATACTCTCCCAGCTGTTGGAGGTGACACCCTCTGGGCATCTGGTTATGCTGCATACGATAGATTGTCTCCACCTTTCCAAAAGTTCCTTGAAGGATTGGAAGCTGTTCACTCTGGTTTGGATCAGAGCAATGCTGCTCTCAGAGCTGGTCACACTGTCCGTCGCACTCCTATCGAAACCGTCCACCCTGTTGTCCGTACGCATCCTGTCACTGGATGGAAGAGCTTGTTCGTTCAACCTGGATTCACCCGCAGCATTGTTGGTGTTAGCAAGAGAGAATCTGAAGCTATCTTGAACTTCCTGTATGCTCACATTGCTGGTGGTGTCGACTTCCAGGTCCGTCTCAAGTGGGAAGAGAACACAGTCGCTGTCTGGGACAACCGAAGCACCTTCCACAACGCTGTCTTTGACTATCTTGATGTTGGTCTCAGACACGGCTGGAGAATCACTCCTCAAGCTGAAAAGCCCTACTTCGATCCCAACAGCAAGAGCAAGGCTGATTCCACTGTTCGACGATATGTCAAGGAACCCGCCACTGAAGGCTACAACTTCCTTTTGTAAACGTCTTGTATAACCAAACATTCATGTATAATAAAATAAAAACAGTATTTTTAATATCAAGCCGAAGTTGTGTGAGAGGCAATGACAAGGGATGTCATGACTGCTGAAATGCAAATGTGAAAACTGGGGACTGCTGAGTTGACCCTTTGACCACTGGTCTCAAACACTTTTACTTCTGCTTTACGCTCAACAAAAGTAAATGGCCGACCAATCGTCACAAAATGCTGCAGAAGATAGCAAAAAGGAAGCATATGATACTACGCCAATCTTCAAGTACCACCATAAGAAGTCTATTGAAAATGTGAGCATTGCTGCCCAAGGTAGAAGCCCGCTAGTACCGTGCGAACACTGACTAACCGCGTTCCCTTATAGCAAGACGCCAAAATTTTCGGCCATCAATTTGTACCAAGTGACTCCAAGGTCGGTAAAAAGCCAAGCCCTATAACACGCTCATGGTCGGGTGCAAATGCTATTTCTGGCCATATACCGCGCCAAGGGTCTCCAACCAACCCCTACTTGGCTGGAGCTGAAATCATGCTAGGCAGAGGCAACAAGAAAGCCGAAGAGGAAGCGAAAGGCGAAGAAAAAGAGGAGGATGTGGAGGATTTTGAAACCGAGGGTAAGCAGTAACCTATGTACATCATTTTCTATTACCGCATGGTTAAACTTATGCCGTATAACCCATCAGAAGGTGATATTACTTCTGATCTGCAAGAGCTCTACGTCAATTTCAAAAAATGCATGGATCTTAGAGATAAATACATGGAATATTCTGCACAACGCATGTTTGACAACCCTAAAGACAAGGATGATTGGAAGATTTATCCAGAACCACTTCCACCTTCCTGGCCACTTCCGCCCCCAGAAGAATGGGAGAAGCGACGACAGCAAGAAGCCAGACGTGCCGCTGATCCAATTGGTAGTGTGGGAAATGACTTTCATAAGCAGGACTGTTCCATTCCTTCTAAGCACGAAGTAGGTATCCGATTTATGATTGGCGGGTCGGATTATGAGTATTAAAACGTTTCATCATCTAGTACGGCTTTCGAATCAATAGTGGCGGAGTGTACGAGGTGTACAAAACCTCTCAAGGTAAATCTCGAAGGAAAGCACGCTCGACGATTTAAGAACATGGAACTAATATTTCATAACTGTAGATATGCAGGACAATAAGCCTTTTGTGAAAGTTCCAGATCCTCGAGAATATTTCAGCGACCTGGATTTTGTATTGGGCATTATTAGCGATGGTCCTGCGAAATCATTTGCGTTTAAACGACTGCGATATCTAGAGAGCAAATGGAATCTGTATCTCTTACTCAACGAGTATCAGGAAATGGCTGAAACAAAGGTATACTTTCAAATAATACCATTGACCAAGCAGGGCAGGTCCTAACGTTGCCTTTTTAGAGAGTGCCTCACAGAGACTTTTACAACGTGCGCAAGGTCGATACGCACGTTCACCATTCCAGCTGCATGAATCAAAAGCACTTGCTTCGATTTATCAAATCCAAAATGCGCAAATCATCGGATGTAAGTGGCCATTAATGCTAGGTTACTTGCTAACATCGTCTGGCGCTGATGTATCTATACTCTCTCTAGGATACTGTCATTTACAGAGATGGAAAACTGCTTACTTTGTCTGGCGTATTTGAGAGTTTGGGACTGACCGCATATGATCTGAGTATTGACACCTTGGACATGCATGTAAGTAGTTGTAATGACATCGCTTTATTTGGCTCCTCCACACAATAACCGCTTTTAAAATGATAGGCGCACAAAGATTCTTTCCATCGTTTTGATAAGTTCAATCTTAAATACAATCCTGTAAGTCATGGCTGACATTATGCTATTGGCCACCTTTGATGAAGCCGATTTGCTAAGTGACATCGAACGGTGTAGATTGGAGAGAGTAGATTGCGTGAAATTTTCCTGAAGACAGACAATTACATTTCTGGCCGATATCTTGCCGAACTTACCAAAGGTAATATATTTTCATGAAGGCATGGCATATTTGTATGCGGTAGATAACCAGCCCAATCACAGAAATCATTTCTGATCTGGAGTCGTCCAAGTATCAAATGGTCGAATACCGTCTCTCCATTTATGGCAGATCGATTGGAGAATGGGACAACCTGGCCAAGTGGGTTGTTGAAAATAAGTTGTTTTCGTATAACGTTCGATGGTTGATCCAAATTCCTCGGTTGTACGATGTCTACAAAGCGTCTTCACAACTTAACTGCTTTGAAGATGTGATTACGAGTAAGCACATTTTGCCCATGTGCTTTATTCGCTACTGACACCCCGGCTAATATCCCTCTTATAGATATATTTCAGCCTCTTTACGAAGTCACCCAGGACCCGAGCTCTCACCCTAATCTCCATATATTTTTGCAAAGATGTGTTGGATTTGATAGTGTGGACGACGAATCGAAACCTGAAAGAAGAATCTATCGCAAATACCCGTTGGCCAAGGAGTGGGATAACAACCTGAACCCTCCTTACGCTTATTATCTCTATTATATGTATGCAAACATGTGTTCTTTGAATCATTGGCGAAAACTTCGTGGTTTCAGTAAGTGGATAATACAGAATGGGGATTGCATGTATATTCTTTAATTCATTGATTTCATCTTTTGCTCAACAGATACTTTTGTTTTGCGACCACATGCTGGTGAGGCAGGTATTACCGACAACCTTACATCAGCTTTCCTGACCTCCTATGGTATCAGTCATGGCATCTTGCTACGAAAAGTTCCTGCATTGCAATACTTGTATTACCTTAAACAAGTGGGCCTGGCCATGTCACCATTATCCAATAACGCCCTCTTCTTGAAGTATGAGCGAAATCCATTCCCCGAATTTTTCCGCAGAGGATTGAACGTCTCTTTATCGACGGATGATCCTCTACAATTCCATTTCACAAAGGAGCCTTTAATAGAAGAATACAGTGTCGCTGCACAGGTAAAAAAAACCGAACAAAAAAAAAAGATTGCTAAGGGCTTTGCTAAATTGGTGTACTTCATCCTATAGATTTGGAAACTCTCGTCCAGCGACATGTGTGAGTTGGCAAGAAACTCAGTTATTCAAAGTGGATGGGAAATGAAAATTAAACAGCACTGGATCGGCAAAAAATGGTATCAGCCAGGACCGGCAGGCAACGACATGCAAAAAACCAATGTGCCGAATATTCGATTGGCTTTCCGGTATGAGACGTTGAGGGAAGAGTTGGCGATGCTGGATCGATATTCTGGAACCACCGAGAAAGACAACGATACTGTGGACACCTCGGCCGGATTCATTCTACAGTCATCCGCCCGACCAGCTGGCTTTACTGACTCAGCCATGATAGGGGCTTCTAGTCTCATCGATCCAACTAAACTTCAGCAAGATATGATTCATAACCATGCAATTGAACCTAGAGACAATGCAGGAGCTACAAGCAGTAAAGAACATCAGCATTCTGGAATAGAGACACTTGAAGAACCAAAGAGCTCTGAAATATGGCAAGGTCTTGGAGGATCAGAGCCTCCCCATGACTATACCTTTCCTGGAGCTTCCGTTCTTGCACAAAGGGCTAGACAACGCCGGGCCAGTCAGGATATGACCAACATTCATCACGATGACTCTATCTGAACATGATTTAGATGATACGAAATTATCTTTTTGAAAATAAATCAAAGATATAATAATCTTTCTCCTAAATGTTTGTAAGCCTTCTTCCAGAACCAACTACCGCAGTTTGGCTGGATTCAATTTCCGACGCACAGTCACATCATGACAAAATCCCCCTCCTTTCCACTTGAAAGGTCACTTTTTCTTTATGACCATTATACACCATGACGATAATCCGGCCGACGAAGGCTACGTAGAGCAAGGCTTCGAGGCTCCAGCCTATATGCAGTATTGGACTCACGAGCAAAAAGCAGGTATGTCGCATTTCACAATGGGCCGCTCCTCTACGACCAGTCTATTTACAGCCTCGCTTCCATCCAGAATTCGCCTACCAAATACTGCTCACTGTCCCAACCTCGGGGGTGTTAGCTGTAGTTGAGCGACTGACTCCATTACTTCACAGAGATTTACTTGTGGTATGTTTCGACTTCTTCTGGCTGTTTCTCCATCGGGTAATTTCCACTAACCACCGTTTTTTTTTGGTTAATGGAATCAGTTATTGCCATACGAGGTTTCACTTCTCATTCTCAGCTTCACCGACATCAACACTCTTGCCCAGGTCAGCACAGTATCTCGGCAATGGAGAAAGCTCAGCCAAGACCAACTTCTCTGGCGCAAACTGTATATGCAAGAAGGTTGGGGGGTTGATCAGGAGGCCATTAAACGCTATATTGACGGCGGAATCATGGACCTGACTGACTCTCAAGGTTCGAGGGAAGAAGAAGACGAAGAAGATATGCATGATATTAGTATGCCAGAAACATCCACTCGCACCAGAGCCTTGACAGCCGTCCCATTAGCACGTACCACTGCGCCATTGTACAATCCATCTGCAGTTCCCACAATGCCTGGTGCGCCTCAAACCAGTAGGCTTCGATCACTACGAAGGCCAGGAGAACTATTGACACGTTTAAGACAGCGCAGATCATCCCCCCTAACCCCGTCTGTTATCCCTACTGCTCCCAGAATTATGAGCTCGTCTACTTCACTGCCAACTCGGATGAACGTAGACGATGATCTCATTACCAAGGAAATGGATAGCGAACTTATGGAAATTACCAATCATAAACAAGATGACCCCGAAGAAACGATTTATGAAATCCACCAACATCCAATTAGTGGATCTCGCATGATCAACTGGAGGCACTTATATCAGCAACGATATCAACTGGAGAAAAGATGGAAAAGTGGAGAATTTCAAGTCCGGGAGATTTCTTCCAACCCAAGTCGTCCAGATGCCCATACAGCAGGCATTTATTGCATTCAATTTGATGATGAAAAAATTGTCAGCGGCAGCAGAGACCATACTGTCAAGGTTTGGGACATGCAAACCGGTGCTTGCATACGTACACTTTGGCAACATACCGCCAGTGTTTTGTGTCTTCAATATGACCATCGGTTCATCATCAGCGGCAGTAGCGACAAAACCATCAAACAATGGGATATCAACACTGGCGAACTCATTAGAAGCCTGAATGGCCACACAGAATCGGTTTTGAACTTGCGATTCGACGAGAATCATATTGTCAGCTGTTCGAAAGATCGAACTGTGCGAGTTTGGAGTGTCCATAGCGGCTCTGTACTACGACGCCTTGTAGGTCATCGGGCAGCTGTCAATGCCTGCCAGTTCAAAGACAACTTAATTGTGTCGGCCTCTGGAGATCGCACCATCAAACTTTGGGACCTGGAAACAGGTGCTTGCCTTCGAACGTTTGATTCTCATAGTCGTGGTATTGCCTGTGTCCAATTTGATGGCAAGATCATTGTCAGTGGATCCAGCGATCAAACCATCAAAGTCTGGGATGTAGCCACCGGTGAATGCACTCAAACCCTCACGGGGCATAGTAATCTGGTACGTACTGTGCAATTTGATACTTTGAACGACCGAATCGTAAGCGGTAGTTATGATGAATCCATCAAAATCTGGAGCATGAAACGTGGTCAGTGTTTGCATACCTTGCGCGATAGCCTTCAATCCAAGTAAGTGGACTTCTCCCCAAAAATAGAATACTGACTGCCTATGAAACTTATCGCATTTTTTCTCCTAGGGTGTTTCGATTGCAATCCAACGATACGAAGATTGTTTGCTGCTCTAACAACCCAAAGATCGTGATCTATGACTTTGGTGTTGGCATTGATACCACCTTTTTTGCCTGAACACAGTCTTTTCATAATATACCCCCACTACTTTTTCTTCATCACTCCCATTGCACCACTGTATTATGCTTGCCTTTCCGTATGTAAATCCAATTGTCCATTCTTTTTTAGTCAGTTTTTTAATGCCGAACAATGTGAAGAATGTGTATACAATACTTTTCATAAAGTAAAAATGGATGATAGAAAAAAAAGTGGTAACAAATACAAACGCTAGCAGCGGAGGAAGGGGTGATATATCATATGAACATTAGTTTGTAGACGACAGCATGTCTTTTTTTTTTAGACACGCTTCCAGCCATATTGTCCATAAGGATATCTTTCACGCCAAGGCATGTGGGCAGATCGTCTGCGTCCATGGAGGAACTGCACAACAGCGCCTACAATGGCAAGAGCAGCGACGCCAGCCAATTCGCCTCTGAGTTTGGGGGTGGAGTCCCAAACTGATTGGGCACTAGACGTACCATGGATGAAGGAGGAAATAGCTTCCAAGAAACCTGCCTTGACATAAACGTCAACACCGGCCATGATGAGGAAGGCACCGATGAAAGCAGAGGCGATGATGAAGACGGGCTTTTCCAAAAAGTGAATGGCAATAACACCGACCAGACAGCAAACAACGATCAAGATAGCTCGGCCCCAACCGGTCTGAATGAGTCCGTTGGAGGCCCAAGCAAGCAACCAAAGAGCAAAACAGTAACCTGCAAAAGCACCGAGCAAGTAGATGGCCAAAAAGAAGCAACAAGCTAGTAAACCACCTAGCAGTATACCAACGACGATGGAAACAACTAGCAAAATGGTTGCAGTATTGGAACCAAAACCATCTGGTTTGGCATTGGTAAGAATGATATAGGAAAGATTGGCTCCCACCCAAAAACCTGCCAAGAAGACAGTGGTTTGTTGATGAACACCTAAAATCGGGGATTAGCGGGACTGAAAGTTTTTTCTTTTAGTGTTCCTGGCGTGGGGCACATACCTCCAGCAAAGCAAAGATAAAGACCAGTCAAGAAAAAGAACACAGAAAGAGCAATGGTGTGAGCGTTAGTGACTTGACCTAGACCTATACAAAGATAATGAAAAAAAAAGTTTCAGTAACAGAGTGGAATGAGGGGCTAAGCCGTTGGGTGGAAGTGTGTACCTGTGATGGCGCTATTGATATCGTCGGTAACAGGGTCTGCCAAGGCGGCGAGTGGAGAAAGGATCAGGGCTATTAACACGGTGAAGAAATGTAGTTGACGCATATCGAAAGGAAAAAGTGAAGCAACCACGAAAGAAAACAGACGAGCTTAAATATGCCAGAGTTCCCTTTCTTTTTAAAATTAGATTTTTAAACTCGCGACTGACTACGTGTGGCGTGGTTTGGTTTCCACCACAGAAGCCACTTTGTTGATATTGAGCAAAGCGTAAGTCTGATCAAGTGGCATGCCTTGCGTAAGCACTCCTTCACATAATCATGTAAAGAGGTATACATATCGCTGCTTCAATTTAATATGCTAATAAAAATCACTAATCACCCCCCATACATACTTCTTGGTGTCACCACATCCCTGTCACGCCACACCCTTCGTTCGTTTGGTAAAAAGCAATCTGTATCTTTATCTGGATTTATGATGTTGGTTCAATGGAGGCTGGTGATACATGCCTCCAACCGAATCGTCAGCAAGCGATATGTCTGCCAGCACAAAGAGGAATTTTGCAACTATCAAGTTGAATTGCCTCGTGACTATTTAATTCAAGCATGCCTTTTTCCAAACGTTCTTTTGCTTCGCCAAGCGGCAATGCAAGGTATATTTTTATCGGTCATTACGATGTGTTTGACTGAGTGGAAAATGAGCCAAGACATTCGCTAACTCTATCGGAGTTACTCTATACTTTCATGAATGAGATACCAACGGCAAAAGGTGATTTGTTCTAGGAAACGTGTACAATCGTATGAGCGTCTTTTTATTATGGGAGGGGGGGATTTTCAATTGTTTTATGATTTGATTATTGTTGGACCTTGACAACAGCGCTACCCTTCTTTTCTCGGAGAACAAGGTTAATCTTGTTGTTGCTCTCGATGGTCAAAGTAGCTTCAATCTTGGAAACACCGAGTTCCATGCCGTTCTCCAAAGCAAGAACAGCCTCTAGCAATTTGGTGGAAGGCTTGATGACAACCTTCTTGACGGTCTCGGCCTCATCTTCATATGGCTCCTCATCTTCATCACCTTCAACGGGCTCACGGGGAGGAGCGGCAATCTCCTCAGTAACAATTTCGTGATCACCTTCGTACAAGGCAAAGTAGGCTTGAGTTTGGCCTTGCTGTGCGTTACCGAATTCAAAGATGCGGCGGGTTGGGAGGGATGTGTATCGTGGAACAATGGTGATGAATTCACCCTTGGCGTTGAGGGTACCAATGTGCTTGGTGGTGTGAGGAGTCAAGGTGACAACGGGGTGGACGCAAGACTCGATGGTTTCTTGATCGAACTCGGCAATCAAAGAGCCCTGGATAGCACAGCCAGTAGCAACAACTTCATCAGGTTCAAGTTCGCTTCTAATTTTGGTGTTCTCGTTGGTGAAGGCTTCACGGAACTTGCTGGCAAGCTTGGGGATACGAGCAGATCCACCAACCATGACGACTTCATCAACTTCAGAGGCATCCAAGTCGGACTTCTTCAAAACTTCCTCAATGACCTTCAAGGCATCGTTGAACACAACCTTGGAGAGCATTTCAAATCTAAGACGGTTGATGGTAGTGTGGAAATCAAGACCATCGGCAAGAGATTCAACAAAGCATGGTGCAGAGTTAGCGCTGGACAAGCTCTTCTTGGTAACTTCGCAGGCAGCGCGAAGCTTAGCAAGAGCCTTCTTGTTACCGCTGATATCGATCTTGTTCTTCTTCTTGAACTCAGCAGCAAAGTGGTTAAGCAAGTTCTCATCGAAACTGGCTCCTCCAAGCTTGGTATCGTGAGCAGTAGCAAGGATGGAGTAAACGCCAGTGCGGACATTGAGAACAGTGACATCGAAGGAGTGGGCTCCCATGTCGCAAACAACAACAGTCTTATCTTGGGGATCCTTGGAAGAAGAGTTGTGACCAATACCGTATGCGAGAGCGGCAGCAGCAGATTCGTGAATCATCTGGATGACTTTGACACCAGCATCAGCAGCAGCTTGCTTAAGCTCATCGCGCTGCTCGTCAGTGAAGTAAGAGGGAACGGAGACAATGGCACCGGTGATGGGGTTACCGAGGAAAGCCTCGGCAGATTCACGCAAGTGTCTCAAATATTTGGCAGTAATCTCCTTTGCTGTGAAGATTTGAGTCTTATCTTCACCGAGGGAGACGTTATAGCCAACCTTGCCGTCCTTGTCAACAATAGGGCAGGCAGCTCCAGTCAATTCATCAGCACTTTCGAAACTGGATAAAGAAAACCATCAGCGTTCCACTTTTCGCAATCAAGTCGTTCAAATATAAATTTTCAAGCTACCTCTTTCCAATCTGTGCTCTAAAGTGTGCAACAGTGCTGTTAGGGTTGCGTGGTATTTGTGCTTGGGCTTGAGAGCCAACGGACTGAGGGAAGGTGCATCTATTTAGTATGTATATAAAAACAATCGGATCCGAGCAAAAGTCTTCAACGCGATATCTACCTCTTCTTCTCCGGAGAAGGCCAAAACTGAAGCAATCTGTCTGTCACCATCTTCGTTGGCGATGCAGTCAGTGCGTCCATCCTGAATCACGGTAAGGATTAGAAAGTAAATCACGGTGGCGATCAACACAAACGATCAATGTACCTTGGACATGTAGGAGATGGACGAGTATGATGTACCAAAGTTGATACCAATGACGTTTGCTTGTTCAGACATGGCGGTATCTATGACGGTTGAAGGGTGTTGTTCTGAGGCTGTTGGGGGATTTTTTTTCTTCAAGAAAAAATCTTTGTGACTGTCCTCCACACGAACGTGCTTCCATCATTGACCCCCAAGCTTTACGGAGGGCATATTTTGTGAACCTGTACACTTTTTTATTCTGTGAGGATAATTTTTACAAACAATGTGAGAGGATCATTGGGTATCATAGTAATGTTGCTTTCACACTACTGGCATTATTGCAGAGTATCGCCACGTTCAGGGTCAGCAAGACGATGAATCATCACATCTGGACCAGGAGACATACTGCTGGCGTCTTGTGGAGTAATTAGGATATACTGAGACGAATTATCTCTCGCTGCTTCAACCTGGAACGAAGGTTTAGTATATATAACAGATAGTTGTAAAAAATTGAAATCATTCCCTTACCATCATGCGCATACTCTGCTTGCGATTGACAGCGTCCATATAAACATCAAATTCATCGAGACAAAACACGGGCGATGCAATACCTTGCCACAGTGATAATAGCAAGCTTATTTGTGAGAAGGATTTTTCACCTCCTGACAGTGACTTTGAATCCTTGTGCCTCGTTCCTTTCTGAAACTGATCGCCAGTTGCCACCTGTTACAGGACATGGGGGCCTTAGTTGTAGACTCTGATCTTAGAAGATGAACTGCGTCCTTAGAAGTGATCTTACCTGTACTTCCAACCTTTGCTTCCTGTGATTGAAACGCAACTTGCCACTATCACCGCGCCTAAGCATATAGTACCAGAAATAGTGTTTGGCTCGGACAGCGATATACATGAGAAATTTCTGCCATCTTTCCATACGCTCTTGAAGTGCTTTGGCCATGATCTGTTGCCAAGTATTCATTCGTTAGTACACATGGCCATCCAAAATAACGCCCGTTTTTCACTTCTTTACCTTGACAAACACTTCCATTTCCTCGATAGCCTTATTGGCCTTATCCCAGTCTTGTAGAGCTTTTTCAGCTTCTTCTTCAATTTCTTCAAGACTAGCTCCACATCTAACATGCCAAATCATCGGGCGTCAGTTTCTACTACTTGGCTGATATTTATCACCATCATGTACTTACGATTTTTCTTGCTCAGCTTTTCTCGTTTCGAGATAGCGCACTTCACGTTCCAGTTGCTCGCGAGTCTTTGAAGGAGTAACGCGATCAGGATATTCCTGAACAGCAGCAATAATCCATTCCTGTAACAAGCCATGAGTTGGTATGTTTTTGCGAGTGAATGTGGTTTAGTAACGTCATGAATGGCATAGCTTACCTTGCATGTCTTCTCAAGCTCCTCTGCTGAGCGTCTGAGGCCCTCAACACGAATACGTTCGCTTTCAACTTTGTTTCTTAGTGAGGCGATGGCCCGAATTTTGATTTCACAGTCATTGGTCTGGTCAACCAATTGCCCCTGGAAAAGTTTCATCCACAGGTTAAAGCGATGATCATCCCCATTGCCTATACGAAATAGTTGCTTACTCTCAAACTAGAAAGCTCTTTATCTGAGTTAGCAATCTTTTCTTCCACCGCTTTGAGTTGTTGTTGGAATGGAAGTTGCTCCTCCTTGGCCTTGAGCTGTTGTACTCGCATATCGGAAAATTGCCGGCGATACACCTCAATTGAATCTTCCAATTCCTACCAAATTGATTTCGTCAAGGACTGGAAGTCTCTAACCCATATTCCGAGATACAACATACCTTTTTCTCTTCTTCAATGGCTGCAATGTTGACTGGTTCGTCCTCTTTCATCTTATCTTCCAGTTCGCTAATTGAACTTCGATATTTTCGAATTTTACCGTTCAATTGTCTCTTCTCAGCCTGAATGAGCAAAGTTTAGCTATGGTCCAAAAAGCCATAGGTATTAACATTAAACTCATACCTCAAGCTCTCCATTTTTTCGACGAATGTCAACAATGGTTTTTTCCAGTGCAGCCGCATCTTTACGCTGAAGCTGAATAGCTTGTCGTAAGCTTTCTAGACGTTGTTGAGATTCACTGCGAACGATCAGTCAGATAAAATGAAGCTAACGTCTCCCGTCAGCAAAGTTATAAATTTTACCGTAGCTTGCCTTCCACGTCAGCACTAAGTCTTGGAGTACCGCGGTACATTGGCAGAGATTCAGTGCGCATACCCGTATTTGCACCCACGCGATGACCTTGGGAGGTGAAACAGCTCTTGACATTGTGAAGTTGCTGTCCGTTATTATACATGACACGATCAGCTTCAGCACGGTCTGTCATCAAAATGATCTTCTCAATATTGGTAGAGATAATCATTTGGCGTTTGACCCACTCGTCTTCAAACTATTGGTGGAAGAAAAATAACATGAGCACCTCAGCCATATCTTTTGCAACATGGTAAAAATATTATACCTTCAGAGCGCGCAAGATGGTCAAAAACTTTGAGTCTGGCTCTCCAGATGAATAATCAAAGATGTCGTATTTTGCAACGAAAATTTGGCAGTTGCTCCTAGATGAAAGTGGATGAAAAAATGAATTAGACATACATCTGGGGTTGCCGAACGTTTGTGAAAATATCAACTTACAGCCCATGATGATCCAGCATCTGAGACAAGAGCCGCTTGTCTTCAAACGTCTCGACAACAAAGTTATTCAATAGCCTACCGATGGTCGACTCCAAGACGTTCGCAAACTCAGGACGTTCCAACTTGATGTATCGACCAAATGGACCAACAGGAGTGCGTCCACGCCAACGTCTTTCTTGAGAAATGCGCTCCACAAGCTCTGGCATATTGTGCCCAAAAGCTCGAAGTCGGTTTTCCTTTTGTGATTGCATATCTTTGATGGTTTTTTCCACGTCATTTCGTTCACGTTCAGTTCTTCGAAGATCGACCTCCATCTCGTCCTTTCGCCGCCTGCTCTCTTCTTCCTGATTAGAAAGCTCGACTTGTTGTTTTTCAACAGCATCAAATCTGGTGCGGGCAGCATCCAAATCTGATTGGAGCCCAGCGATCTTATTTGTATACTCTTCACGCCGGCTACGATTAGCAGACTCCAGCTTTGCAGATTCCTCTTTAATTTGTGCTTCGTAAGTCTTAATTCGCAATCGTAAGCCTTTGACTGTGTTATTGATTTCTCGGCCTTGATCCTGCGGGAAAAGGGACAGTCAATACTTAACACGAAGATATGAGGGGTGTATATATATACAAAGGCTTACCAAAATATGCTGCAAGTTCTTTTCCTTATCGCGGACCGCTTCGATAAGCTTTCTTCGTTCTTCAGCATACGGCATGGACGCTGAGCGACAATCAGTGATCTTCTTTTCGATTTCCTCTTTTTCTTGTTTCATTAGTTCAAGCTCCTCCTATGGAATTAATTGTGATATCAGTCAATTGTTCATACATCAGCTTTTCCCTATGACTGTATGTGTACCTGTTGTCTTTCAAACGCTGCTTCACTAGCACGAAGAGTTTCTGTCGCTTTCCGTGCATCAAGTTGAGCGGCTGCAACGTCCTTTTCCTTGGTTATGATTTGTAACCAGACAAGTTCATTATTCAGGTCATCGATTTTATCTTCTAGTTCTTGTGCTTCAACCATTTCCCTATACCGAAGCTCAGCCTCTTTGGCTTTCTTGTGTAAGTCATCTAATCCGGCCTTGTTTTTTGTGATGATATGTAATGTATCATCAATAGATTCACGAATTTGCTCATAGTCGGATGAAAGTTGCGTCAATTGCGTTCCCTTCATGAAGAACTGCAAAATAAAATGGTTAAATGACAGGCTTGCGTCCTTTGCAACTTTGTCGCTGAGTAATTCAAACCTTGTATTTATCTTCCGGTGTACTCGAATTCAGGAACTGGCGCGCGCTGTCTTGACTCAAAATGGTCAAGGGATTATCAACTTGAATTAACATATGGTCACAAATAGCGGTCAGCTCCTCTCGTTTCGTGGACACTGTCTTCCCGCTGGCAGTCTTGATTTTGTAGCCACTGGCACCATCCTTTGATATTCTACGCTCTATGATAATCGATTCACCATATAAATCAGGCCTATAAGCATCGGATCCCCTGTTTGAGATCTTGACAACAACCTGACCAACACTGTATGGATGAAGATATACTCGGGTAAGTGGGACGTTTTCTCTATCATCCATTAGATTGATGCTAACCTTGTTCCTCCTTTCACTAAAGCACCCAAGTTACTCGCGCGATTAGTAATAGTGGCCTTGGCACCGAGAGCAATCGTCAAGCCCGTTAAGATAGCACTCTTGCCACCTGGAGTACACAATAGTGACAAAAAATTAAAGATCGTTCTCTAGATCTGTGCCCTGATATAATATAGTTCAAAACTTACTTCCATTGTGTCCAATGACGAAATTGATCTTTGAGCCAAAATCCATTTTCAAGTATTTATGACACATGAAATTGACAAGTTCCATTGATTCAACTGTTCCAGAGCCAGAGCCGTCCTGATAAAAGCAACATGAAATCAGTGGACCGTTGACATTTGCAAGAAGCATACCATTAGATCCATACGAGTAATGGTGCATTGCCGCTACCTGCTAATGAGAGGCGGGCAGGGCGGATATTGTGCTCCACGTTATCCTCTTCATTGTCGTCATGAAGCGAAACATCGGTAGAGTCAACTTCACTACTGCTGTCTGCTTCCGTAACTACTAATTGCTGTCGTTTCCTCTTGTACTGTGCCTAATTCGTGAAAACATAGAGGAAAAGCAATCAGTTAGACCGGCGAAATAGATAGTTGTGGATTGCGACATTTTCAACGCGTCTAAAAGCGACGGTCACTTGCCTGTCCATGAATGGCTCCATCAGCACTTGTACCTTCGCCTGGCAAATCTGCTTGCTCTAGCGAGCGCTTGAGTGAAGCTGGCATGCTTTTGACACAAGATTCAACCTCGGGAAACCACGTTGACGCATTTTTTGGAAAATCATTTGCCCAACGCGTGTAATGCACGTGACTTTACGTTTGTCCATAAGACTTTGGAGAACCCTTTGTTTTAACCTCAGAGAGGGGATGTGCGAGGTACCAGCGTTCAGTGGGTCGACCACAAAATTTCATAGCCAACTTGATGTTTGTAGATTACCAGCAATAAATTAATCTAGAAAAAGGTTGCTTTAAGGATGATCACGTACATGCAGAGAAAGTTCCTCCAACTGTTCTCTGTATGTCGATTAATTAATTGTCGTAGCGGGTACAGGCAGGTGACCAAGACTAACAACTACTCGACTATGAGCAGGTATTCACAATGCTTAGGTGCATGACTTTAATGGACTAACATTGAGAGGTAAGCGCAATAAATGGCTTGCATCATTTCCAATGGTAATGTATTGTATGGTGTTGCACTTCAAGGGCTATTGTAAGTGTATTTCAGGCCCATGTGCAAGCGAATAGTTTCACCACTATGTCGTGCAAAATAGCCAAAAATAAAATTTGATTCCAATGGTCCAGACTGAAGTTTCAAAGTTTATTGATGACAGATTGCAAGTTTACACGAAATCGTTTTATATGTTCGTGTATGCTTATGTTAACAAAGCTTTAGAAACTAAAGTTAATAAAGCTGCTTGACGCTATCGACGGTGTCCAAAACTGTAGTTTTGAAATCCTTATACTCGATTCCAA